GGATGGTCTTAACACTGTATTTTCGGCTGTGTGCCTTAATCCTTGAATTTATGCATGTTGCCTAATAATTTACAAATTCACAATATATGTGCCCCTATGCTGTAGAGTCAACTGGTTTTTCTTAAACCCTGCATACTTAGGGTAGAGGTGGAATGTTAAAATAGTTGAAACTTTATTTAGAAACCTTTTATGTAAGAAAGAATCCTAAGCACAGTTAAGGTCAATGCATAGGGATGTGCTCTGCCTTTAATAATACCTTGAGGCCCAAAGTTAATTGAGTAATTTCAAATGGTATTATGATTCCAGAGGCCATTTTGTTGACCTTATGTCTAACTTTTTAAAGTCCAAAGTTACTCTCCAAATACACACTAAGAAGTTTGACTACTTGTTACTCCCCGAGCATACAAAAATTTGATGTTGAATACTACTACGACAATAACAACATAACCAGTATTATCCCACATCGTGGGGCCTGAGGAGGGTAGTGTGTATGCCTTATCCTTATCTTATGAGGATAAAGATGTTGTTTCCAATAGGCCCTCGGCTCAGGAAAGTATAAGCATCACATTAATGAAAATATAGACAAGAAAGTAGAGTACCAAAAAGTCATATAAAAGCAGAATAAAAACAACAAGATAGTAAGGTGATCAACAATGAAAGAAAACAACGGTTAGTCACAAAAATCTACTACCAACAAAAAGCGAGACTACGTGCCAATCCTACTGTTATGAACATTCTAGACTACCTAGTTTACTACCCTAATCCTCGACCTCCATACCTTCCTATCAAGGGTCATGTCCTCGTCAGCTGAAGCTGCACTATGTCTTGTTTAATAACCTCTCCCTACCTCTTCTTTGACTTACCTCTACCTCTATGTAGTCTTTCCAATGTTAACCTCTCACACCTCCTCACTGGGGCTAATACTAGAGGATAATTAATTTCTTATAAAGTTTAAGTTTTCTGCTAAACACTCTAAGAAATATTTACACAGTCAATATCTTATGTGGTAATATATGATAACATGATAAAGTATGTTAAATTACACTGTTGGTGTGAAGTTTTTTTGCATTATCAATATATATAACTTAAATCATCTTCTTAAAATCGTGTATTAATTCTACTTCATGATATCCTGAAACTAGGAATATGAACCCTTGGCTTCGCAAAGAAAAAATCAAAGCCTACCAGTCCAGTTTTATTATTAATTCAGATGTGAATACTGTTTGTTATTGCATTTGAAGTTGATTAAAAGTATTTTTTTGATTTCTTCCATAAAAGTGGAGTTTTATATAATTGAACAATTAAATAAAGCTAATGTTGCCATAGAGAAACAGACAGTCTCGAGCCAACAGCCCTGACTTTTGAAAAAGTGCTATTTTTACTTATGATTTTAGTTACCTCACGTGTTAAGAAGCTTCAAATAACTCCTTTTTTGGGAAAAGAAAAGGTTGTTTTTGGTTGGATTTATGCAATTTACATGATCCTAAACTAAACTTCATTTTACTGTTACTTTGCCTGTTAAATCATTTCTTCCCCATACTTTATTTTTAACTCAAATGAGTAAATAATAAATTAGCTTCCACACTAGCATTTGAATTTTCATAAATCTATATGCATCTATTACAAGAACGACTTTCTTGTATTAGATTGCGAATGAACGAGTTAGAGCAATTTATAACTAATTAAGCTAGTTAGCAATATTGGCCACTATTTCAAGAATATATTGACTTTCTTTTTCTGTTTAATTAAAAATCGTTTTCCATCTCGTAGTGCTTGCACCTCTCGCCTTCGCCTATCAGGATAGTGTTTAAAGAGAACTTTGGCGCATGCATTGCTACTTCATTTGCACTATTTAAATTTAAACGTTTAAATCCTACCAAAGACTCCTTTTTGTTTTTTTCTCTCGTCTTTATTATATATAATAAGCTCATCCCCAAAATATTTGTGACAAAAAAGTTTGTCCTACTTTTTATTTTTAAAGCTTCTAAAGGACCAAAACATGCTAGTATAAAGTTTGTCAGATTTTTTAGTGTCCTTTATTTTAGATTTTTATGTGTTCATCTTTTATTAGCTTTATAAGCCGTTTTTCTCTTTCCCCTGAATCTGATTGTCCCACAATTAACTAGCTAAAAAAGTAAAAATCAAGAAAAACTCATTTCTAGATTACACTATCGATGTAATTCAACCTGTTATATGGCATATTGTCATCTTCTTTTTCAGATCGCTAATTCAGCTTACACAAATAAAACTAATTACCAAGAAGTACTCTAATTTTATAACAACATAAACGAAATAATTTATGAATAACAAAAGTAGCTAGCATACATATACACTAAGTGAATATTATTTTTATCCACTCTTTTCCCTCATTAATATAACAGTTACTTTCTTCATTGACATGATTGCTTATGAATGGGAAGTTGGTTAAGAGTAGTGGAGCCTGTGTCAAATTGAGAAAATTTCTTCTGAAACTGAGACATTAAACTAAGGTTTTCTTGATGGAGGAGGCTTGCCTTCTTCCTCAATTTCTCATTCTCCTCTAAAATGCTCATATTTTCCATGTATAGCTTCAAGTTTCTCATTTCCATATCCTCAGCTGCTTTTTCCTCACTTCTCTTCCTCCTTCATAACCAGAAAAAACCAATTAATTAACAATTTAATTTCTATATATTGATGATGTAAAGGAATTTTTACAAGTATCAGGTCATTTAAAAGATAACTACGGTTGCCGTTTATAAAAAATGAGATTAGTAACCTGAAAATAAAGATCGTTACTTGCTAAAACAGATTAAAATATACTGATAGAATAAAAGTTTTTTACTCCTTCATTGGCATAACTGGTAAAGTTATTGCTATGAGACCAAGAGGTCACGAGTTCGAGCTGTCAAAACAGCCTCTTAGAGAAATGTTGGGTAAGACTACATAGGTCTTGCCCTTTCCCGCACCCCACATATATCGGGAACTTAATGCATTAGGCTGCCCTTTTTTACTCCTTTCATTACATAATCCACTAATTACACTATAGGCGAAAAAAAAAGATCTTCACACCTTAAAGAGGAAAGTGATCATAAAATAAAGTGAAAGAATAAAAGAGCACCAATTAATCTTTTGTCAAATACCTTGTAAGCCTATGAACTTGAACTCGAGAGAGCTTTGGTCGTTGTTTTTTCTGCATTAAAACATAAATGGGACGTGATGAACTCCACTCTGCAGAACTGATACACATTTCTTCCTCTTTTTGTGTGTGTGTGTTTTAGTTCAAGAAGAAAGTGAGAGGAATAGAGGTGTGCTATAATGAAATGTTGAGTTGAAGTATATGAAGGTGGTGCGATCCTATAAATAGGTGGAATTGTAGTTTTCAATATGAATAAGCATTACTACTTACCATGTGGTTCCCTGGCTATTTTTGCAACTAATTAGGGGAGAGAGAGAAGAGAGAGAGGAGGCTAATATTTTTTCAAGTATAGTAATGATGACTAAGGGACTCATGATTACAAATAGCAGCAATCCATCTATTTCCATGTAGAAAAAGCCTTATAAGAGGGATATGTCTCTCTGCCTTATTAACTTCCTATATTTTTCTATTTTTTTTTTTATTTTTTTTGTACTTATATCTTGGTTTATCTATCTTAGGAGTTGGTGTATTTATGAAAAGAGGGCATATTTGTCACTATGGTATAAAATTTCCCTTCTAGTATTTGTCATGTTCAGGTGAAGAACTTATCAAAATATGCCATGTGTTCACCTACTATTCCTAATTATTTTTCACTATTCACCTACATATCCATGCATATAAATGCACATTATTCTTAGTCACACCTGGTAGGCTCGTGTCATATTTCTCATAACGGGCATTGTAGTTATTCCTTATGCTTTTTTCCTTTGGCATCTAGATATAGGAATTTGCAAAGAACATGACAACTATAGGTTATTTCGTGTTTGGTCTGTTACACAGTGGTGGGAGGGGAATCTTTGTTGGGTTAAGTCGGTCGAAAGATACTTTTAACATGTGTGATATTATTTTTTTGGGTCAAGATCGTATAATTTTCTCCAAAAAGATCTCATGTCATTAAAAATATCATAATATCTTTTAAGAACTTCTTTTTCTTATCAACTTTCATGGAGGACCTTTTTCATGTATCCAACAATTTTCCTCTTAAATACCCACATGGCCCCTCACACTATGATTCTTAGGCTTATCTGGAGATTCACTGTGTGCTATCCATAGCATCGATTATTTATGACCAACAAAGCCCATAGGTTTTTTTTTTCGTGAGCTATGGGTAAAAGTATTATGCAACGCTCGTAAACTGGCAAAGGTACCAAGTGGGGCAACATGTCATCACTTTGTCATCTCTATACTTATTTTGTCAAACATTGGTTTTGATATTAGTTATTGGGCTAAGCCGGCTCACACATACTCTTAATATTGTATCATATTATTTATTTTGAGTCAAACCCGCA